TTAACACATATTTGTGGAATATAGAAAAATGGTATAGATGAACTGGTTTGCAAGGCAGAAATAGAGACAGAGATGTAGAGAACAGATGTATGGAAACCATGGGTGGAAAGCGGGGGTGGGGTGGTGGTGGTGGTGGGATGAATTGGGAGATTGGGGTTGACATATATACACTGAGATGTATAAAATAGATAGCTAATAAGAACCTGCTGTATAAAATAAATAAATAAAATTTTAAAAAAGATAAAAGAATCTTCCTTTCCTTATGCCACTATGTTGTCTTTAGGTCAAGCAAACTTTTAAACCTTCAGCTTCAAAAAGGACTGAAACCATGAAATCTAAGTTCTTATTATGAAACAAGTTTACCTTAGTTAATCGTGTTTTCGAAACTATCATCCTTCCTTGTAGTCTTACAGGATATATGATTCTTTAAGTATTCTTCCAGTTGTTAGGCTTGTTGCTTTTCCTACTCCATGGACTCCTCCCTTCTTCGTTGAACTATGTAAAGGTCTCTTAACGGTGCTTAAGAATGGGTTCTGGAGCTCTACTATCCTGGAGTGCCACTTACTATCTGTATGACCTTGAGCAAGTTTCTTAACCTTTCTGCTTCAGTTTCTTCATCTATCAAATGAGAAGAATAATAATTCCTATCTCATAGAGTTGTTAGGATTAAAAGTAATGCTTTGAGTTACATAGAAGAGTGCCTGAGATGCAGTAAGCACTCAATTATCACCATCATCATAACTGTCCTCTTCTTCTTCCTCCTACTTGGTCACTAAGATATGTCACTGTTTCTGTCTAGACCCTAGAGCATTGATTTCTCATTTCCCACTGACACTGACACCATTCTAGACCTAGACCGTGATGTTACTACCTCACGCCACAGTTTCCAAGAGAGCTTCATGTAACTCATCTTGCCTCTAACACGTCCTTTGTGCTTGTGTTTTTCAGTACATGATAACGGTTTCATATTATCACTCCCTGTTCCAAGAGCACACAGCAGTTTTTCAGTAACTTGTTTTATCAAGCCCAGACTCTTCTGTCTGACTCTGGCTTAACATTACTCTCTTGTTCCATTCAGGCCAATTTCATATTTTCTCATTTACATCATACACTTGGACATTTGCTCATGTTTTTCCTTCAGGCTTTATTCCCTTCATGCCCTTACCCTTCTACTTACTATTTCTTTCCTGCCTATACTTCAAGAATCTAACGTTTCTAAGAAGCCTTTCTGGCATTTAAGAACTGAGCTTGGGTAGGAACAGCATTGGTAAAACTGGGAGAGACTTAGAGTACAAAGACAGGTTGATTTAGAGATCGGAGTATAGATTGGGGTTCAGGGCCTTTAAATTCAAGAAGAGTAAGGATTGAGAAGTGGAGGGATGTGAAGTGAGGGACAACTGAGAGCAAAGCAGTGTTGAAAATCTGAATGTCATTCAGGTTTGTGACAGACCAGGGCGGATCCAGATGGATCAGATGGTTTTTAAGGTCTGCATGGCCAGGCAAGATAGTGCATATCTGAACTGACAGGAGCCAGTGATGTTCAGATGAGGAACAGGTATTAAGTATCTGAAGTAGTTGGTATTGGTGTCTTGGGGACTGGAAGATTGGGGACATAACCGGTTAAAATAGAGCCCCTAGTTAGCCTAGAATATCAAGATCAGTGCAGGATGACAGCAAAACTGAATCTGCTGAGCCACAGAACAACTTATATTACCTTCTGGCTAAGATTAGAACTGGGTTGTGAGAATATTGCTATATTCAGGCAACTTGATAGGCTCCCTTGACAGAGGTGTAAGGATGGAGTGACTACCATTAATCTGACCAATAAAGCCTCAGTGATTTCAGTGTGCTTAGCATATGTCCCATATTACTTTACTCCTAATTAAGGACGCTACTATCTTGTATGGTTGTGATTGACTTATGTGAATCTCTTTTTCTGTGTCTATATCAGATGAGTATCATTTTTTTTTTTTTTTTTTTTTGCGTTACGCGGGCCTCTCACTGTTGCGGCCTCTCCAGTTGCGGAGCACAGGCTCCGGACGCGCAGGCTCAGCGGCCATGGCTCACGGGCCCAGCTGCTCCGCGGCATGTGGGATCTTCCTGGACCGGGGCAAGAACCCGTGTTCCCTGCATCGGCAGGCGGACTCTCAACCACTGCGCCACCAGGGAAGCCCTCATTTTTAAAATAGAGCTTTACTGGGGTATGATTAACATTCAGCTGCATATAAAGTATGCAGTTTGATAAGTTTGAAATATGTATACACCTGTGAAATCATTACCACAATTAAGATAATGAACATATTCATCATCTTCAGAAGTTTCCTTGTGCCCTTCTTTCCCTCTCTGCCCTTCTCCCACCCTCCCACATCCACTGATTTACTTTCTGTCACTATAGATTAGTTCTTATTTTCTAGAATTATTTATTTTTATTTTTAATTGAAGTAGAGTTGATTTACAGTGTTGTGCCAGTCTCTCCTGTACAGCAAGTGACTCAGTTTTATACATACATAATTCTTTTAAAAAATTTTTTTATTGTAGAAGTATTTAAATGGAATCATATAGTATGAACTCTTTTTGTCTGGCTTCTCGCACTCAGCATATTTATTTTTTTACCATAATTATTTTGAGTGTGTCAATAGTTCATTCCTTTCTATTGCTGAAGAGTTATTTCATTGTATGGATATACTTCAATTTGTTCATTCACCTTTTGAGGGACGTTTGGCTGTTTCCGTTTTTGGCTCTTGCAAATAAAAATGGGATGAATATTTGTGTACAAATCTTTGTGTGCACGTAATGCTTAAATATATATATATATATATATATATATATATATATATAGGAGTGGAATCGCTGGCAGGAGTTTTATGGCAGAAGTATGTTTAGCTTTTTTTTTTTTTTAAGAAATTGCCAAACCGTTTTCCAAAGTAGTTGTACCGTTTTACATTTCCTACAGACTGAGTTTCAGTTCTACATCCTTGCCACATTTGGTATGGTCACTCATTTTAATTTTAGCTTATTCTAGTGGGTGTTCAGTGGTAGCTCACTGTAGTTTTAATTTGCCTCTCCTCAATGACTAACTGATGTAGAGCCTTCTTTTGTGTGCTTTTTGCCATCCTGGTGTTTTTTTCTTTTTTTGGTGGTACGCGGGCCTCTCACTACTGTGGCCTCTCCCGTTGCGGAGCACAGGCTCCGGATGCGCAGGCCCAGCGGCCATGGCTCACGGGCCCAGCTGCTCCGCGGCATGTGGGATCTTCCCAGACTGAGGCTCGAACCCGTGTCCCCTGCATCGGCAGGCGGACTCTCAACCACTGCGCCACCAGGGAAGCCCCCGGTGTATTTTTTGATGAAAGTATCTGTTCACATCTTTTCCTATTTAACAATTAAAAAAAAATTGTAGTAACATAAAATCTACTATCTTAACTACTTTTAACCATTTATATAGTAGTGTTAAGTGCATTCACTTTGTTGTGCAACCAATCTTCAGAATTCTTTTTGTCTTGTAAAACAGTTACCTATATTTTTTAAAGTATTAGGTTGTTCTGAAATTTCTTTATATATTCAGATAAAAATGCTTAATCAGATATATGCTTTTTCTTTATATATTTAGATATAAATCCTTTGTCAGATATATGCTTTACAAATATTTTCTCCCAGTCTGTGTTTTCAGTTTACTGTGCATCTTGAAATTGTCCATGATGGGAATGATTTAATCCACATTAATAGACAGATTGCTATAAATCAGGATTTTATTTTTTGTTGATTGTCTGTACTCAAGAAAAGTAATGGGGAAAGGTTAATAAGGCAGATGAAACTTAAAATTATGTTATGTCTGTAACCTTTACACTGTGACAAGCACGAAAAAATGAGGAAAGAAATATGCTTTCCAGTATTTGAAAAACTATTGTCTAATAAGCAAAGAAGTCATTCAAGTCATTGTTGAATGAGTGAAATTCAGAGATATGTCTTCATTATTTCACTCTTGTCATTTGCAGCCATTGCTTGGCTGTGGGTCAAAGAGTTCAGCTACCATCAGTGAAAGCATCCTGGGGCAATCAATTGCCTAAGCTGAATTTGCAGTAAAGAGTATTTTATATTTTTTCATTGTTTGTCAGTTGTGTGATACGTCTCTCTTTATTTCAGTAAAATTTATAATAAGCTTATGTACATATGTATACAGCTTTTTCCTACAGAGCCATTTGTTAAACATTTACTGGCTGTACACTAAATAGTAAGCATTAAGGGAAATATTTCTAGACTCACATAGCTTGAGTCAAGAAAGAAAAATGAAGTTGTGAAACAAAGTCATTGTATGGGTGATCAGAGAACCAATGTAAAGCTGAGACCAGAGGAGGAAAAGGATGGGGTGAGTAGTAGGGAGAGAAAATGAAAGGCATAATACACAGAAGGTCAGGTCAATTCTCTTACCACTAAAGACACAGAGGGACATGAGTTGTTTCTTGTAGATTATTTGTTTTGCTCTGATTTGACTTGGTCTTATCATTTTTATGTATGTAATAGTCTGTTTATGGTATTGAAGAGGAATGTTAAGAGCTCATATATTATTAATGTTACATTAGCAACTTCAAATAAGCCTTGAATATTTCCAAATATAATTTTCCTTCAGACCAAATACTTTTTAACATTTAAAATTGGAACACACGGGGACTTCCCTGGCGGTCCAGTGGTTAAGACTCCGTGCTTCCACTGCAGGGGGCACGGGTTTGATCTCTGGTTGGTGAACTAAGATCCTGCATGCTGTGCAGCATGGCTCCCCCCCCAAAATAAATAAATAAATAAATAAAATAACAGTGGAACACAGAACAATGATGTGTTCCCTGTTGTCTTCTAGAAGTTGCATCATTATCTGTCAATACATTGCTTTTTAATCTGTACACATAATGTTTACCATAATTATTAGATTTCTTTCAAAAGTTTTTTTTTTCCCAGAATAACTTGATTTTGAATCTGATGATTAAGTTAAACATTTTTTTGTTTTGTAGCCACGCAGGGTATACGTACTGTGGGTCTTGTGCTGCTCATGCTTACAAACAAGTGGATCCATCTATTACGTAAGTAATATAGTTAGATACCATTTTGATTAGGTGGTTGGGAATTATAATTGCTTTGTCACTGAAGTAATTTGTTTTACATACTTATTATATACTTGATTTCATTAAGAATTTGACTTTACAAATTTGATTATACCTTATATAGGTTATGAAAAGCTTTAATACTATTTTTCATTATCTGAACATTTAGCTTCTACCTTCCTTTTGTTTGGTAAAATGTTTAGTTCTGGAAGTGTTAGAAGGTTAATACAGTATTGTGATTTATACGAAATATGTATTTGGTCATTTAGATAACCAAAATATATTTCACATATATATTCAGTCTTTTTCCACAGTTACTGGCTCACAGCTCCCAAAACCCTTGGAATTTCCTAAGTGGTGAGAATGGCAAAGGTTTTTCTTGTATGTTAATAAGGTGACTTTCGGACCCCACCTAAGCATGGGGCTGCCAGGTTGCCAGGATAACCAACCTTGTGTTTAGAGGGTTGGAATTTTCATTCCCAATCCCTGACCTCCCCTGGGGGAGGGGAGAGAGCCTGCAGGTTGAATCAGTCGCCATCATGACTATGTAATAAAGCCCCCATAAAAACCCAAAGGGACAGGGTTCGGAGAGCTTCCAGGTTGGTGAACACGTGGAGATTTGGGGAGAGTGGCCTGCCTGGAGAGGGCATGGAAGGTCCTGGCTCTTTCCCCTTGCCTTGTCCTATGCACCTCTTCCATCTGGCTGTTGCTAAGTTATATCTTTTTATAATAAACCGGTGACCTAGTAAGTGAAATATTTCTCTGAGTTTTGTGAGCCGCTCTAGCAAATTAAACCTCTGATTTATAACCAGTCTGTCAGAAGTACAGGTAACAACCTGGACTTATGATTGGCCTCTGAATTGAAATTCAAGGAGGTGGTTGTTGGAATCGCCAATCTGTAACTGGTTGGTCAGAAGCACAAGTGACAACCTGGGCTTGTGACTGGCATCTGTGATGGGGGATGGGTGTGGGTGTGGGGACGTTTTTGTAGGACTGAACCCGTAACCTCTCAAGGTAGATAGTGTCAGAATTGAGTGTGCCCCCTCTTCCACTCACATGAATGCACACAGTGGAATTGGGTCCAGGAACATTAACAGTTAAATATTTTGGTTTTTAAAACTTTGAAAACCTGGAGATGAATACTTTTAAGAAAAATTCAAAGCCCTTTGTTCTATTTTAATCACTTTATAATTGAAAATTCTTTATTGCACGTGTTAGGTTGTGTTTAATGAATGAAGAATAATTTCTCATTGACAGGATAAGGTACCTGAGTTATTTTAGAATCTGACAATGAATTTAATATGGTTTTTGAAGTATATTAGCTCTTAATAATTTAATGACAGCCCTGAAATTAGCTTAAAAAAATCTTTCTGTCAAATTGAGACTGAGTCGTATACTACTCTCTAAAATGAGAAATTTGTGAACTTTAAAAGCTTAGTATACCACTCTCTAAAATAAGAAACTTGTGAAATTTCAAAAGTTTCTGCTGGAATTAGCCACCCAAATTACTTAATTTGCTGACCAACATTTTATTTAAATAGTTAATTCACTACATGTGAACCAGTGTCAGGTTCTAGTCTATATTGCCAGTTGTACATACACTGTGTGAATAGGTGAAACTGATCATTTTAATTCTGTCAAATGTTGTTAGGTTAGACCCGTACTAGTAGAGATCATTCACAAGTAACTCAAAACAGCCCTGAGCCTACTCCTTTATGAGCAATTAGTTCAAATTGTCAAAGCAAAAAAGCTGCTCTCTTTTGTTTTTATGTAGTATGCTCTGCACATTTTATCAGGCCTTTATTGAAAATTATTTTTTAGTAAGTTTTTAATAATAAATAAAATGATAATATTGCCAGATTGAGGAGGTTTTGGTTAGCTCCACCTCCTTTATGATGTTTTGATGCACATCTTTCACAAATATTTCATAATACATATTTAATGTGTAATTTTAACTTGTTTCATGAATAAGAGTAAAATAGAAATTAGATTGTAAAGCTTTTCAGAAGCTTCCTATATTTGACCCTGGGCCTATAAATCAACCATAATCAAGGCTAGTTTATATAACAGCCTTTTCCAAACCTTTTTCTATTTGGCAGAACTGTTATTGATGATGATATGTGCTAAAAGGGTACCCCTGAATTATATTTGGCCTAGGAATATATAGAGAGCCTATATTGATATACGTGGAAATTGTGTGTTAAATAAGTTGATGGACAGTGAGAATGGAAAGGAAAAAAATAATAAGGGAAGAGAGTCAACGACTAAGAAGGTGACAATAAAGGAGATCAGTAAAAAGAAATGCGAATGATGGATGATGATGTGATCAGTTTATTTTTATAATTAGTATATAGTAATTGAATTCTGAATAAATAAGTGTGAAGGTCTCAGTGTTAAAAATAATCATAGACAGTCTTGTTGTATTCTCTTGGAAGTGGCCCTCCCTGAGATTTGCAATATCTTCATAGTTCTTTAAGAAAATAGAGAAAACATCCTTTTGGGAATAATAAGTATAGAGAAAAAATAACAGTCCAAGAGAGAAGGATAAATTTGATACCACTAGCTTCCATTCTTCTTTCCCGTTCCCATTCTCTACGTGTCAACCAGGATCATCTTTTGTCCTTAAAATTTGAATGGATCTTTTACCTTTGCATGATTTTGTAACATCTTGCATGAACATTTGGAAAATATTTGTTCATTGAGTCATGCAGATCTTTCAAATGTTGACATTTCATCATACGATGTAAAAAAAAATCACATCTGTTAATATCACCATCAATTTCATGAGAAAAAATTTTAATTATTGGGAAGCTTTTTGCAAAAGTCTAATTTTCACTTAAAAGTTTCAATTTTATCATTGGCAACAAATACGTCAAATATTTTCTTTGAAGTGTCAGGCTTATTTTGTCCATTTTCTAAAAAATTTCTGCTGGATACCTAAATTGGAATAACCACAATTTGTCTACAGTCATTTTTTTGAAGTAAAAATTGTGTTCCGTGGAAAAAAGTCTACTTCAGCTCATAACTCAAAATCACACAGATGCTTTTTCCTTGAGACATACTTCTGTATGCAGTAGAAGTGCTTTATGTGTTTATCACCACAAATTGAATGCATTTTGTCATACAGAATATTTTTATAAAACTGTACTCGAAGTTCAAAATTTAATGAAATTAAATGAAACTGGCTGAAAAAAAAATACAGCATGGGTGAAGGTGAAGAATACATGACTACTAGTACATTTTGATTCCGTTACCTTGGTTGTAGCCAGCAGTATACCCAGTCTTACTTTTGTACTAGAAGTGCAAATGTTAACATGTTGAAAAGGTTCGTTGTATTATTATGAAAATAGTTTTGATTTTGTGGACTCCTTGAAAAGTTCTTGTGAATTCACAGTTCACACTTTGCGAACTGCTGTGATTCAGGGTGATTGGATTTATATTGTGGATAAGGTATTGGAGAAGGCATCTCTGGGGAAATGATTTTTAAGCCAAGCAAAAGAAACAATTACACGTGGAGAAGTTTTGAAATAGGCAAAGATATTCTTGTTATCAAGGAACTGCAAGACCAGTGTGCATAAAGTACTGAGATCCGGGGTGGGGGGAAGAATAATACAAGAAGGGGCCAGTCGATATGAGACTTTAGAACCCATTTTAAGGATTTTTGTATTTTATCCTCTGACCAAGAAAAGCCATTGAAAGACTTTTTAAGCAGGGAAGTGATATGATCTGATTCATGTTTTAGAAAGAATACTCAGGCTGTTTAAGGAACTTTAAAAATTATACATTTAATTAAGTTCTTTCCCATATTTAGAGTTGCAAAGTCTTTTCCTATTACTGAAACTTTAATTAAAAACCGGAACTCAGGATGTTACTTAGATAGTAACTTGATTTTGATTCATATCTTTCAGAAAACCTTGCAGGGCAGAAAAAGAATGCCAAAAGGAATCTTCTTTGGGGCCACATGACATTTTATTCTTTAGTTAAAATATCTCCACTTAACCATGAAACACTTTAAAAAAATTACTTGTGTTCCATTATCTAGTATAAGTAGTTGAATATTTATGAGAACAGACACTCAGGTAACTCATGTGTTAGGTGTACAGACTGCACTCCTCATAGTAAGTAACTCCACAAATGTGGATTCTCTGGAGGTATTATTATATGTGAAATACATTTATTTCTGAGAGAATGCCTACTGATTTTTTTCTATTTTTTTATATTAAAGGTTTCTTTTACGTGTATGGCAACAGTGATTATATACCAATATTTAAAAGTTACTCTTTTAAGACAAAGAACTTTGTAATTAATTGAAGGGAGAGAAAGTGGCATTACTTCCAATGCCTATATTACATTTCTCTCCAAAATATTTGTATGGTCTTGGTGTTTATGGATCTAGCAATCTAGGGGGAAAAATGCATTATCTTTTATTTACACTATTAATTGTCTTATAGCATATAGCTAACACAGAGACTCATTCTGAGATTACTACTTGTTCAATATCCAGTTTCTTTTTTCTTCTCTCAATGAAAAGAAGCCTTTTTTGGTTTGTTTTTGGGTATATCACTTTTAAGGGTTTTATATTGATGGGACCTAAATCTTTTTTCCTATTATCTCTCTTAACTAAATGTGGAACTTCACTATGTTGCTTTTGGATGAGTTTCAACCTTTGGGTACACAGTTGGATAATTCAGACTGATGGGACCTCTTTTCCCCACCAGACTTTATCTTTTCATCTAGGTTGGGTCTGACAAAAAGGCAAGCAATATGAATAGTCACGTATTAGAGGAGGCAGTTAGGCTTTCGAAGCTGACCTCGGGTCTTTATTTCTGGAGTAACGCTCATCTTTTAGCCACTGTTAGAAGAACCTTGTTATACTTACCTATGATATATATCTATGCCTAGATTGATTTTTAAAAGTCATTTCATATTTTAATTATATATTCTGAATTTCCCAGGAGTGTTCTGATTTTAAATATTCTATCCCTCTCTCTTTTCATAGAAATACATTCCTCAATCATAAAAATACTTTTTTTTTCTTACTTGATTCTTGATTCATATAATACCTATCCTTAAGCAAGTTTCCTAAGCACTCAGATTTACCATTTTCTATGTCCCTCATTAAACTTTAATTTTAAAAATGTGGTGATATTTTTGTGCTGTTAAGATACGAGAACATAGTGGTATCTTTCGTTCATTTAGGAATCTATAGATCTGATTTTTTTTTTCTGAAATGGCTATTGAGTTGATCATAGAGATGATGACAAGAAGTGGGTATTAGCAGGGGAGGTGAGGAAAGGGATTATGTTTCTGACTAGAAATGGCCTGTGAGTGAAGTCTTACATGTGGGCTCTGCGTGACATCTTGAGGATTGCAACATCTTGAGGAGATTTTGGGACTAAACTGAGAATTACCTTTTCCTTATCCACATCTTTCTTATCCACCCCCACCCCCCAACACCCCATATAGCAAGTAAGATATAGCTGACAGTAGGTTAATTTTCTTAGCTGTAATAGAATTCTGTCAAAATAAATATATTGCTAAAGCACACATTCCTTGGCCTGCAAGTTTTTGATGTGAAAGAGATATAGCTCTGTGATTCAGTCTTTGTGTTTTTGTCCATTAGATGAGCAATGAGTAGCACTTAATTTTCTAGGTATATAGCTTACATATATTCCTTTTTTTCTTATAGTTTTGGTTCTTTTGTGTCTGTAACTTTGTGTGTGTGTGTGTGTGTGTGTGTGTGGTGGGGAAAATTTTGTTCATATGAATCTGGGAGAAACAGCGAAAATGGAGAGTTTGGAATTTAGATTGTAGAGATGTTTGAGATAAAATGAGAATAAGTTAATTTTACTCTTGATGTTAAGATAAAAGGATTGTAAAGATTTAATCTACAGTTTAGCCTAGTTCTTTTCTTTAGCCTACAGTGCAAATAACACATAATTTTCTTTGTTTTTGAGAATGACTTCTACTTGAATGGGAACTGAGAAAGCTTATTACAGAGTTCTCAACAAGATGCCTTTTTTCTCTGCCATGGAAGAAATGTGGAAATAGCTTTAACAGAATGCTTCTTTGTAATGATATTTTGGATTTTTAGAATTTATACTTTTATGGATTTTTATTAATGTTGTAGGCAAGTTTAGAATTTGTTATTTTGAGATTTTATTTAATAGCTGAAATGTTTAAAATTCAATTAATACAGCTATTGAAAACCTTTTGTATCCTAGCCATTGTGAATACAGAGGTGATTTTAAGCATAGTCGGTTGGTTTACTGTAGATAATCAGTAACTAGTATTCCCAGGTGTTAAACATGGTTCTTTTAAAGACCTTCCAACAAAAAGATAGAGATAAGTAATTGAACTTAATTAACTGAGGAGCAAGTCATTGGTAGGAACATTAGTTTGCTAGTGCTGCCATAACAAACTACCATCAACTAGGGGACTGAAACAACAGAAATTTATTTTCTCACAGTTCTAGATGCTGGAAAAGTCCAAGATGGTTTGGCAGGGTTGGTTTCTTCTTAGGTTTCTTCCTTGGCTTGCAGATGACTGTCTTCCTGATGCCTCTTCACATGGTCAATCACCTCTCTGTGCATGTGCACCCCTGGTGTCTCTTCCTCTTCTTATAAGGACACCAGTCATATTGAATTCAGGCCTCACGGTAATGACCTCATTTTAACTTAATCACCTCTTTAAAGACCTTATCTCCAAATAGGTTCCATTTTGAGGTACAGGGGTTGAGACTTCAACGTATGATTTCAAGAGAACACAGTTTAGCGTATAGCAGTAGGTAATGAACTCAATCAAGGAAAACAATATTACATGTAATTTTTTTAAATTACTTGTTTTTTCCTTTTTATTTAATAAAGTTTGTGTAGAAGTGCAATTGTTCTGTGTTTTTTATTGTATATCTCCTAGCCGGAGAATTTTCATCCTTGGGCCTTCTCATCATGTGCCCCTTTCTCGATGTGCACTTTCCAGTGTGGATATATATAGGACACCTCTGTATGACCTTCGTATTGACCAAAAGAGTAAGTATATAGAAATTTTATAGTTTGTAAACAGCTGAAGTTTTTACAAATAGGAACTATAAGTTAATTTACAGTTAAAAGTATTTCATAGTAATATTTGAATTGTAAAAATAAAATTGTTATAACTAATCTGCAAAAAAGAAAAACTAAGAAAGGAAATCTTCCATATGCCTAAAAGACAACTGTAGTTTTTCTGCCAGCCACAAAAATCTGTCAGATCCTCTAGTCTTTGGAGTGTAGTGGTTACATTTATAATCAGGGAAGTACCATGTACTTGTTGTACAGTGAGACAAGAAATTGGTACCCACAAAAACTTGTTGAAACATTTTGGGCATGTTTGTCTTCCTCTGTGTATAACAGTTCCCTTACCGTAAATGGATAATGGTGATAATGACTTTATATCCTCATATATGATTTTTATGGGAAAAAAATTGAGACCGTAGTTGTGAAACTCTGCAAGAAGGGTGCCACATAAATCTTAAGTGCATTTTATTTTTAAAACATATCTATTATTTTGATTTTTAAATAGAATTCTAGAAATCACAGTTTTTATTTAATCATGTCTCATTTTGTACATAGTTTAAAAAATACCAAACCATACAGAGACTACTATAACAAATACTCATGTACTTATCATCCACACTTGACTCAGAATTTCCCCTCATCTGAACTCAATTTGCATTCCCAAAAGTAACCACATTCATGAACTTGGTGTGTATCCTTCCAGTTCATCAAATTATATTTTAAGTACGTTGAGTGTTTTTATTGTTTCAAGAAATTTTGCAACAAATTCTTCTGTAGAATGAAGAAAGCCATTTGCAGAGGAAATGATCACCTCTTTTTCTTTAATTTTTAGGCCTAAATTTTCATAATTTGGGGTTTTAAGTATTATAGAGTATTAGCAATTTGTTGTTAGGATATAGGTTATTAATGAAACTAGCCTTACTCCCTGGAATGGTTTTAGGGTACACATTTTTCAAATATTTAAAATGCTTTTAAAATTTTTATTTTTTTCTTCCAGTTCTATTGAGTTATAGTTGACATACAACACTACATAGGTTTAAGTTATACAATATGGTGATTTGACTTTACATACATCATGAAATGATAAGTTTAGCGAATATCCATCATCTCATATAGATACAAAATTAAAGAAATAGAAAAAAATATTTTTTTCCCTTGTGATGTGAACTCTTGGGATTTACTCTCAACAACTTGTATATAACATACAGCAGTGTTTATTATATTTATCATGTTGTACATTACATCCCTAGTACTTACTTATCTTATTACTGGAAGTTTGTACCTTTTTACGACCTTCATTCCAATTCCCCTTTCCTCTGGGACACGCTTTATTTTTAAAACCTTGTTGGGGCATTCAGAAAATTTTGGTTTTGGATAGACTGACAATGAGGAATGGAGGATTTTTAATCAGGTATAATTTTATAGAAAAAAAAGTCGTACTGTTATTTGTTCGTTTCTTTGTTATTGGTAAACCCATTTAAGGATGTAGTTATAAAAATGCTGGTTTTGTTCAATGAAAAAATAAAAATATTCTTATATCTTTTTTACATATTTCATCATTTTCTTGCTATATATTGATAATATTTAGTTTTAAGTGTAATTCATCAGAAGGATTTGAATTACTTAAATCATTTTAAAATTTTAAGATTATTTAAGGCATGGTACTGTGGTAAATTTATATTCCAGTCTATACCACGAGCTTCATTTTTAATGTTGAGGAAAATAGCATTCTCAGAAGGAATTTTCTTTTCTTATCTTAGTATGACAGGAACCTGAGGTGTAAAATAATAAGTCTGTACATTGTATTAAAAAACAAAACAAAACTCAAAAACTATATTATTAACCTCATGAGTAAGTAGACCAGGGGATTTTTCCATATTTCAGTAAGATTTCTAATCAACTGTTCTTGTTAATATCTACTGATTGAATAAGGTCAAGGATAAGCTTAGACTCAGAGGTGATTTTAGATATAATGAAAGGAATTGATGAAAAATTAAAATTACTATTTTTTATGTAACTATGTAACATATGAAAGTGCTAAATAAATCATTACATGTCTTACTGTTTTGTCTGGTATGTAAGAAGCTAGTTGTTTTTTCCTTTTTTTTAAACTAAAAATGGAGAATATTATGTGGTGCTTTTTGTCTCTTGCCAAAGCATGTAGTTTTGTGTTACTGGATAGAGTCTCACAGGGTAAGGATATACATTAATATATTTGTTTTACTATATTTTGAAATCTCTAGTTTACGGAGAACTGTGGAAGACAGGAATGTTTGAACGAATGTCTCTGCAGACAGATGAAGATGAACACAGTATTGAAATGCATTTGCCTTATACAGCTAAAGCCATGGAAAGGTATATTAATTAATATAAGAAATCCCAGAGAAATCATGGATATTAATTTCTTTGGAATTATTTTAACTAGGGTGAGATAATCATTAGGGTAAAGAGTTTTAAAATTTTTGTTGAAATAAAAATTTGGGATTGGATTTTCTGAATGTGGATTGAAGTTGGTTTTGAGTAGTTTGCCTATGAAGGCTTAACGTGTAAAGTGACATGGTTGTCTTATTAGGTAGAAATATTAAAAGAAAAAAACAACAACCCGTGTGTGTGTGTTTGTGTGTATTGATTTGCCTGTTATCTTATTCATTATACATTCATTTATCTCAGAGTAACAATTACATTCTTTCATGTTATAGTGCTATAAGTAAGTAATCATAAAATTTTAGATTTGGAAGTAACTTTGGAGGTAATTTATTTCAGCCTTAATCAAAGTACATGAATCTCTATTATAAAAGAGATTATTGTATAATAATATATAGTAAAAGAGATTATCTAAATATAGATCTGTTATAAAAGAGATCTCTTTTATAAAAAGTGCTTGACAGATTTTTATTTGGTACCTGCTAAAAGGTCTTCTAGTGATAGGGTGTTCACTAGACTATAAGTAGAGTGAAGACAGGGACAATATCTATTTTGTTTTCCACTTATACCCCAGTGCCTAGCACAACGCCTGTCACGTAGTAGTCAATTTATTTTGGTAAAATGAAAGAATTGTTTTAAGAGCTTTCTTTCTTCTTTTAGGGCAATATTCAAATTAGTAAGTTTTCCTTTTATAGGTCACATTTTTCTAATTTTTTCAACCATTTCCTTTATATGGACTTAATATTCCATATGTAGTTTGACTAGTTCTAAATATGGTGAGATTATTCCTTCTCTGGTCCTCATTACTGTATTCTCTTAGGAAAATAAGTAGTGCATTATAGGTTTTCAGTAAATATTTGTCAATTAAATGCATTAATGAAGTCTGAGATTATCTAAGCAGTTATTATGCTGATATGGCCTACCTTACTATTGTCTGATATACTTGTGGTCAGCTCAAACCCCAAGGCTTTTTTATAGTGTTAAGCTGGATTATTTCTCCTCTTGTACTTTTGTGGTTGATTTCTTTTTAACCCTAAATGTGTTTGTCTCTTCAGTTATTTCTGTTTAATTTTTCCATGTTGCTTTTATTCCATTATTGCAGTTTTGGGGGTTATTTCCACTCTTAATTCTGTTATCAAAGTATTATTTACTTCTCTCAGTCTTATGTTATCCACATCTTTTCACAATGATAACTATGAGGAATTAACATAAACCTGAAGAAGTTTCCAAAAATAGTGTGATATTAAATTATAAGCAGTATAATTTTAGGTTAATTATTTTAATACATTCTAATTCTTTAGACGTTATTAAACCAATATAGGCTGTTTAAGTTTTGGAATCCTAGTGTAATCAGAACATCCCATTCTTCAACTACATAGGACAGTAGAAAACTTTCGTTAGTTGCTGAAATGTTTGCGTATTTTGTCATAAGAAAATATATTTTAGACTTAATAAATTTCAATACAATAGGACCAGTAAACTGCCAACAGTATCCTTAAGGAAGCTTTAATAAAATAACATTTTTGTTGTTATTTCAAAAGTAAAACAGGCATAATGTGGTAATTTAGGAAAATAGAAATTTGAAACCAGTGAACAAAATTTTTGTTCATAATTTTCTATTAAATAGTGTTAAATAACCACTTTTAAGTATATCACTTCTCAAGAAAACCTTCCCTACATCTCAGATTACATTAGGATTCCTAATACTGACTCTTAGAGAGTACCTAGTACTTTTCCTTTGTAGTCTTTGCTGCGCTCACTACCTGTATCAGTCTTTCATTACTGAGTAACAAATTGCCTCAAAGCTTAGTGACTTAAAATCATAACTATTTTATTGCTCACAATTTTTGGATCAGGAGTTTGAGTAGGGAATACCTTGCTCTGGTCCACAAGATACTGACTGAGATGGCTGGAGTGGGCCTTGAGGATCCAAGATGGCCTTAGTGCTGGCTTTTACTTGAGACACCTCATCTGTTCTCTAGATGGCCTGTTTGTTTACCAACCAGGGCTTTTCTATTTTCTTGGTTTCTCTGTAGAAGGATAGTCTGGATTTCTTTACATGGTGATTCTGGATAACAAGAGAAAAAAACCAGAAGTTTCTTGGCCCATTAAGGCCTAGGCCTGAAACTACATAGTATCATTTCAACTGCATTTTGTTTTTCAAAGGAGAAATAGATGCCACCTCTTGACAGGAGGAGTAGCATATGTGTACAGGAGTAGGAGGTATTGTTGCCAGCCATCTTTGCAGATGGCTACCACAATTCTTCCTCTGGTGGACAATTCACATTTCTCCAACATGGAGGGCACCCCCAGCTCTCCTAAGATGCCCAGAAATCTCATCCAGTTATGACCTCAGTTCGAAGTCCATTATCTTATGATCTGCATTAGGTTGGGATATGGATGAGGCTCCTTGGGTGTAGCTCTTTTTGATTTGGATACCTGTGCACTAAGAAGGCAAGTCTCCCCCTCGCCCTCCCAATACACTCAGTATACAGTTTTGAGACAAGGACAGTAAAGCACAATAGTTACTTCCGTTGCAGAGTGAAAGAATGGGAAGCATGTAGTAGTCGCTGGTCCAAAGCAATTCTGAACTCTAACCAGGAAATAGAAAATATCCTTGATTATGGCTTGGTTCTGTCTTCTGGTAGTGGCTTCATAATTCATTACAGATGGTTCCTGACTTATGATGATTCCACTTAAGATTTTTTGGCTTTTTGATGTTGTGAAAGTGATATATATTAAGTAGAAACTGTACTTCGAATTTTGAATTTTGATCTTTTCCCAGGCTAGCAATGTGTGTGCTTACTCTCTCATGTTTCTGCGCAGTGGCAGTGAGTCGCAGCACCCAGGCAGCCTCATGATCACAAGGGTGAACAACCGGTACACTTAAAATCCTCTGTACCAAGACAACCATTCTGTTTTTCATTTTCAGTACAGTATTCAATAAATTACATGAGAGATTCAACACTTTATTATGAAAAAGGCTTCGTGTTAGATGATTTGCCCAACTGTAGACTAATGTAAATGTTCTAAGCACATTTAATGTAGGCTAGGCTAAGCTATGATGTTTAGTAGGTTAGGTGTGTTAAATGTATTTTCAACTTACAGTGGGTTTATTGAGACTTAACCCCATTTAAGTTGAGGAAGACCTGTATTATTCTTAGCTCTTGACTGGATCCTTTCGGCTTTTGGCTCTCCTCTCTGAGTCATTTTTACTTTTCCATAAGAAATGGGCCTTGTTTGCATCTAAGTAGCAGTTTTAGTCTGCTTCATGTATGTGACAGTTTAAGAGCCTAAAGGCCTCTTTTTATTTGGAACAGTGTTTTGTTTTGTTTTTTAGTACAAACTGATTGAACTCCATTAAACACTTTGTGGGTTTTCTGTACATCAGATTATAAGTGCGTTCCATTAGACAAAAGTCACATCCACAGTTCTTTCTGAGACAGGCTTCTTTCTACTTTGGATCTCAAGTTAGGGGCCTGGAGTTTCTTAGAAGCCCTTTTACCTGCCTGAGAGAGTATACAAGCACTGTCTTAAGTCTTCCTGAGGTCCTAATACATTTTACAGATGCGTTTTGATTTGATGCCTCTGAGCCCATGTTCTTGGTAGCACTGTGGATTTGATCTTTGTCCTTATGCTGTTTCTTTGACAGTTTTCTGCTATCTGTAGAGGCTAGCGATGAGAAAGTTATTTTCCAACCAAGCAACTCCTGGTTGGAAATATTTCTTTTAAATTCTGCTTATAATTCTTTAGCTCATGTTTTTCTTCTTGTACCTTCTCATACTTGGCTGTAAAGAAGCCATTGACACTTTGAATATTTTGTCTGGAAATCTTCTTAGCTATTTTTAATCTTTAAGTGTATTTTTAATCTTCTAAGTTACGTTATGCTAATTGTTCTCCCAGCAAATAATATGGATAACCCTATTTCTAGCCTCCTATAGCAGTGTCCTTACTGCTTATCCAGTTTCCAGGCTCCTTGTTGCCCTTTCAACTTCCACCTATCTCTGTGTCCACAAAGCCAATATTATATTTTTTAGGTTTCTCTTACAGTAATATACTTTCCAGGTGCTATGTTTTGGTCTCAGTTATCTATTGCAGCATGGCATATCACCTTAAAGTACCTTTTTTTTTTTTTGCTTATGATTCTTTGGGCTAGAAATTTGTTCAGGGATGAGTGGCAACCAGTCATCTCTGTTTTATCTGCTGCCAGTTGAGACAGGTTGACTTAGGCTAGATGTTCCAAGGTGCTCTCACTTTCTGTTTGGGGCTATGATGCAGGTTGTCTGCTGGGCACCTTAGTTCTCATCTTGGTGCTATCTCCACTTGTTGTTACTCTTCCTTCAGGGCCTGTCTCTTACACATGGTTTCCCTTTCCTGCTGGACTATCCTGAAGTACATGGCAGTTCAGGGTAACAAGAAAACAAGTAGAAACTTCTAGGCCTCTTAATATTTAGGCTTGGAACTGGCACAGTATCACTTATGTTGCATTCTACTTGGCAAAGTAAGTTGGAAGGCTAGGTTCAAAGGGAAGGAGAAATTGGCTCTATACCTAATGGGAGGGGTGGCATGAGCATTCAGAAGTGGGAGGAATTTTGGTGATTATATTTGTAGACAACCTACCACAGTAGCACTGCAGTTAAATAGCTCTTTATCTCCCTTCTCTGGTACTTCCCTAACCTATTCCCTACTCCAGGGCAGCTAGTCTACCCTGTATCTTCTGTACTCATCTCAGTACCTGGTACACAAAAGGATCTCAATAATTAATTGTTGAATAAATTAATAACAATCTATTTTTAATACTTTTATTAAATATTTTTTCCAAAAATGAGATCAGTTTTTTTTTATTAACTGCTTTTCATATCATGAACCTATTTCCATGTCATTTTTAAACTCCTTTTTATTGGATATACATAGGACTTTCTAGTGTATGT